TTTAAAAATAAATGTTTATGGGAGCAGAATTTCACATTATTCCCTGAAATTTATAGTGATCAAGCAGTGTATCATTGTACAACTTTTTGTTTGGCTACTAAGCTTACTTGAAGTAATTATCAGACAGACGTGATGATCAAAAGTTAGGAAGACAAAAAAAAAAAAAAAAAAAAAAAAAAAAAAAAAAAAAATACGTTAAGAGAAGCGTAATGCTGGTATCAGAGGTGGGCAACTGGAGTACTAAGGGATGAAAAGATTTAGATATACTGGGCAGCAAAATGCTAATGCGATATTTACTGGCGACTCTAACCTAGTGCAAGGTAGAATGAAAGGTCATCAAATAAGAAATTGAAAAATACAGGAGAATATCACGGGCTAAAGAGATTTCACCAATATCAATATACCGATTTTGACACACTTTTAAGAAGAGACGTTTGTGTTCTGTTGATCCCTCATTACTTGACGTTATTGATGTGAAGATTTGATGATCAAGATGAAAGACCTCTCTTTTGAATAACAATATTTGATGCAATGGGAATTAAACATTTTGACTAACTTTAATCATTGTCAAATCGGTGATTCTTCCCATCACTCCAAATATTTCAGCATGCACAACCATTGGTGAAATAAATTATGATATCTGCCTAGGATTACCAAGGAATTATTACAAAAGATTAGAGTTCCATGTGGGAAAAGTGTTTATTAAGCATTTTATTGTGAATGGTTGTGAAATCTATGAAGCAACTGCATAAAAATGCCCAACTTGCTTAGGAATAGGAAATTAATTTTATAGGAGCTGTGCAGAAAATTGAGACAAGTCTCCTAACCAAGTAAGAGGCTGAAGGTTCATTTCATCAAAAATAAAATCCTCATAAAATTCTTCCACAGATTAAAAGAGCTCTATATGGATTGCATTGCGAAACAGGTTTTTTCAACAGTTACTCACTCCATACAAGAATTGAATAAAAGTAATACCCTCTGAATGAAAAGCAGATCTTCCACGTGGATCATAACTGTTGTGAACAGTGGGATCACACAGGAATATAAGCAGATATTGCCTGAAGTAAAATTAACTTAAGAGAAAAAATATTAGGGAGAAGAATTAAATAAAAATATTAGCATTGCATTTTAGATTAACTTCATATTAGTGTATTCCGATGACCATTATCTGTTCAAAAAAGTAATATAACTGGAATAGTAATTACCAGATATGGAATTATTTGTAATTTTACATATTTGTTGCTCTGACGATAAGCCTCTGTAGATAGTTTGAAATCTATCAAATTTTTACATGCATAATATCAGAAATTGAATTAAAGGAACGTGCACTGCATGATTTCTATTTCAAATTCCATTTGTAATAAAAAATTACACTATATTTGTGCTTTGAGTTCTGTAGTATTTATTGTCTCCAGTACATATGTTTTGTCTTTGACATACCTTCTCAAGCAGAAATTGGGGAGTGCAATATGTATGTTTAGATATACCTTCTCAAACAGAAATCAGGGAGTGAACTGTTTGAAGAACTGGATGGTTACAAGAATAGAAGGCAATTATTTAAAAGTGTATGAGAAATTTGAGGGATTTTAATTTATTATTTCCAAATAAACTTTTCTGACAGTAATGTATCTAAAAAAGACATGTCTGAAGACGGATAAAGTAAAAAATGTAGCAATCTCTGTAATGTGTATTTGAGAATTTCTAGTCTGTATTGTTTATATTATTGTAATTTTTAATAACTTTTTTAAGCGTGTCGGAAATTCTTTATGTCAAAGACTATATATATATATGACTACTGTATACATATATATAATATATATATATATAGGACTACTGTGTGTTTTAAAGTATGATTTCCTTTCTATTATCATTTGTAGATAATTGGTACCCTGCCTAATGAGTGTTAAAGTTGTTACATGTATGATGTGTTTTTACTTCCTTGTATGAAGTAAAGGAAGTATTGTAATCACGAAAAATTCTGGGTATCATATTTTAACAAAAATATCCATTTTGAAAGTTATTGAATGTAATTTAAGGATGTTTTTGTGCAACATCTATACATAAGACAGAATAAAGGACTTTTTCTCCAAACGAAATTATAAAACTGATTTAAAATGGATTCAGAAGAGATTTTTTGTGGCGTCCCGTCTGTCTATACGTATGTATCTCGCATAACTCAAAAACGATTAGCCTCAGAACATTCAAATTCAAATCCTGTAATTGCTGTGTCGAGAATACCAACTAACTTGTCAATCGAAATATTTTCGTTTTCAATAATCTCTATTACTTTCTTCATTATCGGAAGCAGTATTTTTTGGATCTAGAACCATACTATAGATTTCGCTGTCCATTAATTAATTGATTGATGATTGGGGCATTGTTGTCGCAATAAAATCTTCTGTTATATCATCTTCATTTATTGCCGCTTCTCCACATTTCTTTACAAAATCCAATAACTGGAAAATTTCACCTTTAGTTTGCGATGTCCGAAAACCTTCAAATTCACGACTATCATCTTCATCGTCCTCACCATGAAATATGGTAGCTGGCCATAAATTATGCCAAGCATTTTGTAACGTATCTGGAGACACATCCTCCCACGATCTTGCGTTGCTCCACACAGCAGATTTTATGCTAAAAAATTTCAAAAATAGTCTTGTCATTGTTCAAGAAATTTAACTTAGATTTAAAAAATGCTACTTTATATTTGCATTTCAGCGCGTGCACTATTCCCATATCCATAGGCTTAATGATAGACGTACAATTTGGAGGAAGAATAATGCGGATACATTATCTTTCACTAAAACTTTAAGTGAAATATGCGTCCAACAGTTGTCAACAATCAGGACTATTTTTGAGTCATCAGATAAACCAACTGAATTCAAGGAGCCTCGGGTATAAAATGATTTTCAAACCAATCATTCATCAATGCTTGTGTTATCCATGCTCTTTTATTTCCACAATATATAACATGGAAAATCATTACTCCTTTAAATGCTCGAGGTCATGCATGTTTTCTGATTGCGAAAAGTTTGCATTTGTGCATTCTTGCAGCATTTGCACACGCTAAAATTGTTAGTCTCGCTTTGGAATCTTTGACACCAATTGGAGCCTTTTCTGTAGAGGTTGTATTTCTGTAGAGGTCAAGGTATTTTGCGGTACATATTGCCAGAAAAGATCAGTTTCATCAGCGTTGTAAGTTTGTTCTGGAGATAATTGTTCACTAGTAATGAGTTCAATGAATTCATCTGCAAATTGTTCAGCAGCTTCAGTATCAACTGAAGCTTTTTCACTTGAAATTTTTGTCTTATACCATGGCGATTTTTAAATTTGGTTAACCAACCTGTCGAATATGTGCACTCAGTATTTAAGTTAATTTCTTCATAAAATATTTTGGCTTGAGCCATTAGCATTAGACCCGTCAATGGCATGCTCTTGCTGCGATGCTGTCTGATCCATTCAATCATCACTTTGTCATGATTGTCACTTTTTACGTAACGAACCCTTTTTCTGTTATTCATTGCAAGTGGGGTGCCGGAATCCACAAAAATTCAAAAAGTTTCTTTTTGCTTATGTCATGTACAGTTGACTTTCCAATGTCATACTCCTTGCCTAATTTTGAGACAGATATGCCTTTATCCATTTTTTGCAGCAACTCCACTTTTTGTTTGATGGACATCGAAACATCTGTAGATCCTTTGGCAGCTCCAGAATTGGAAGCTCTTTTTGACATAATCGAAAGTTCAAGCTTAATTTTTATAAAATTGCTCTAAAGTCTGCAAAAACTAATAAGCCGGATCCAATTAGAAGATTAAGGAACAGCACAATCTGCAACATTAACTGAAATGCCTTAGAATCAGTAAGATAATTTTAGCCTAGCTTATACCATCCATTATACATTAAACGCACATGCGTAAAGCATACAAAAAAAAGTTTGTGGCTTTGAGGTCCGGATTATAGATCGTTATAGATTACGAACTTTGTACTGTATATATACACACCCACTCTGTACTCGCTTCTATGAGCTCAGTTTTTTTTAGTCTTACATGTTGGTAAATTTTGCATTTTTTGCTTTAAAATGATTGAATTATGTTCTTATCTTCTGACTAAGGTTTTTATGCCTTTAATCTGCATACAATAGTTATAGATATAGTTTTAATATGTGTATAATAGTTATAGAATTATCAACAATTTTAAAGTTGTTAAGTGCAGCTAAGCTTAATTTTGCTTACCATAGCAACCATATTTGTTTATATTTGAAACTTAGCAGAACAATGAATTAAATCTTGCTGCACCTTCAATGTCTTTTTGCCGAGTGGGATTAAATGGAAACTTAGTTTTGTGTATCGAAAAATTTGCCTCTTTGCCTGCTGGCCAAATTGCAAATTGCTTGTTTTTGTGCAGAAACAGTTTTAACCCTATTTGGTGATTATGTTTTTCTAAATCTTTCAAAATTTAATGAAGATATTTTGAGTTTTTATGTATTTTTGCCTTGCCGCAAAGTGAGAACTGAATAAATTGAATGAGAAATATATCTAATAAAATTCGATGAACTAAGTGTTTTGTATTAGCAGCAAATACTGATACCAGTCTGTCTGGTACAGAGGAGAATATTGACAAGTAGCACATGCACATTAGTTAAGTGGTGCTGAATCGTTTGTGAAAAACTTTCTTTTTTATATAATATCTTTTATACATGTTTTTAGATTGATTTATTATAGCATTTGGTACAACATGTGGCAACGATTAGATAATTCTTCAGATGATACAATTTTTATGTATTCTGAGTTATAAAATGAATAAGATGTAATACTATTAAGTGAACCTATTGTCAGAGTGTCACCATGGTAAAATAATTTAGTGCATTTATTCTATTGTGGTTTATGCGCTTTGGATGAAGTAGATTTATTTTAATTCAATAAGTTTAAATGAAATGCAGGAAAAATGCATATAATTTAAGGAAGTCATGTGGTGTGCACATCAGATTTTTTCTCTTTCAGGATAGATTTTTGCCCATAGCAAATGTTGCTCGCATAATGAAGAATGCAATACCCAAAACTGGCAAGGTAAGTAAATACGAATTTTCAATGAAAGCAATTTAACATAGCATTTTCTTGTTTTAAAGTGATTACATAATGTGTGTTGCTTTATTAAATTTATTAATTCTGGCTGAGATGCATTTCTGCATTGTTAGGCAATTTTTTTTACTTATTTTTTTGAAACTCTTTTTAATCAGGAAATAGTCAGGATGTATTTTTTATGCTTTGTACATATTTATAAAGCAAATTGAGTATTCAGGCATAAGTGTTTTGTCATGGTGACTTAAAGGAGAGAAGTGGTAGGTTATCAATTGTAGTCCTTTTCTGAAATAGAACTAGGGGTCCTTATTATACATTTAACACTGCTGATGACATTATCTTTCGTCTAACACTAAATATTAAGAAAATTAAGCTTTTGTTTAACTAGCTATTGAGCCTATATTTAGTGCAAACTTTTGTGAGCTTTATAAGGAAGAACAAATGCTATCTGAGTACATGACTTTAATATAAATCTTAAATTAAATATCATATGTAGAATATAGCAGGTTGATATGAGTCCTACTGTTTGGAGAGAATGATTTCTTCTTGCACAAAATAGTTTTCTGGTCAAAAAAAATCGAAGAAAAACTGTTAAATTATCTACCATTATTTGTAGTTTTTCTGATTCATCAATTCATTTATATTTTATTTATCTTGCATTAAGTATTAAATTCATTTTGAATGCATATTATTGAAATTGTTTAGCCATTTGATGAAAAGTGTAAATACTATATTTTGAGTTAAAGAAATTGTGTTTCAACTTATAAGAAAAATATACAGTCAAAAGTCTTTAATCTGGACTCGTCAGGACTTCGGCGATTCCGGATTATCGGTTTTTCCGGATTATAGATCATCAGTTTAAATCTGGTAAGATGGCATGCAGAAATTATACAATTAAAAATATGAAATCGTAATTTATGAAATAAAAAGCAATTATGATTTAAAGGGTATAAAAATTTACAAAAAAAAAGCTTAATATTTATTTCTTTACTTTATTAAACATTTCTTTCAATGCATGCATAAAGCGTACATTACGCATAGTCGAAATTAGAAAATTGTAACCAGAAAACTATTTGATGTGTATTCGTGATATTTATAATGACGAGGAATTTAATTTAAATCATATCAAAGATGGAGTACATCGAGATGAAATACTACATTGAGTAAGGAATTATAAGCCGAATAAAATAAAAACATCTGTCCTGAAGATGAGGATAGTGCTGATAGATCAACTTCCAGTTCATTGCGCACCGCGATGTCTCCCCCTCCCCCGCAGAGCAGCATGAAATTGATAAACAGATTTCAGAATGGTTAGAGAAACAAAGGATATGCCTTTATCCATTTTTTGCAGCAATTCCACTTTTTGTTTGATGGACATCGAAACATGCTTTCGCTTTGTAGATCCTTTGGCAGCTCCAGAATCGAAAATTCTTTTTGACGTAATCAAAAGTTCAAGCTTACTTTTATAAAATTTCTCTAACAGTCTGCAAAAAATAATAAATCGGATCCAATTAGAAGATTAAGGAACAATGCAATCTGCAACATTAACTGAAATAGATAATTTTAGCTTAGCTTATACCGTCCGTTATACATTAAATGTGCATGTGTAAATGTATTACGCGCATGCGTAAATGCATATGCGCATGGGTAAACATATTATGCGCAGGCGTAATGCATTTACACATGCGCAGAATGTTTGTAGCTTTGAGGTCCAGATTATAGATCATTCCGGATTATGGATGTCCGGATTAAAGACTTTTGACTGTATTATGTGCCTTGATGTTAAATAGTAGTAATAAATTTAATAGTTTTTGTTTAATGATTAAATGTAAAACTAAGCCTCTTCTGAATATATTTCTGATTTCATGAATTCATTTAATTCTAGATTGCTAAAGATGCAAAAGAATGTGTACAAGAATGCGTTTCAGAATTTGTTAGCTTTATAACTAGCGAGTATCCTTTTTGAATTTGTTCTTTTATTATATGTAATGCAGTATTTGACTTTTTATTCTTAATTTTTTTCTTGAAATAGTGTTATTGGATAACCAAATAAATGTTTTTTTTTTTTTTTTTTTTTTTTTTTTTTTTTTTTAAATTTAGTTTTATTGCCATTGTATTTAAATTTACCTAACAATTATTTTTTATTATCGTAGGAAACAGTGTTTGTGTTAAGAAATATGGGGTGATCATAAAATCTTTCCTTGATTTAAAAACGAATTATTCTGTAAAAACTATTATAATTAGAAATATACGTGGTTTTTGAAATGGCAACTGGAGTAATTAAGTTTATTATGAGTAATACTAAGTTAGTAAACTTCAACATGTGTTCCTTTAATAGCTTGGAGAATATCTTGTCAGTATTCCAGCATCTGTTATTCTGGCTTCTGAAGTACAGTAGAAGTCCATTAGTCCGGCATCCAACAGTCCGGAATGCCCGATAGTCCGGCATCGCTCCAGAAAATTGTAAAAATTTTGGTTTTCTCCAAAAGTGTGTCTTTAAAGCAAATAAAACCGCTCGAGAGCTATTCGGAAGTTTTCGGGGTAGTTCGAGATCATCCGGAAGCGCTCAGTATTGTTTGGAAACAATTAGCGGCCGGCTAGTCTGAAGATGAGGTAGAGGAGTGGCTTTTAATCGACGAGAATGAGCCTGTTGAACAAGAACTAACCGATGAGGACATTATCAACATTGTAGTAAACCCTCAGCCTACTTCAAAATCTTGAAGAAAATGACTCAGATGCCGAAACGGAAGAAAAGGAAAAAATCAGCTGGGCAGAAGCTGCAGAATCACTAAATAAGTTTATCTCTTTTGCCGAGGCTAGTACTAGCTACAGTGCTTCAGAAATTATTGATTTCCATATCATTAGAAATAAATTTTATACTAAACACCAAAAGTCAAGAAAACAAAAAAGACATTCGTGACTTTTTTAAATCTAAGTGAAATATGTTTTACAATACGTGTACATACATTATATGAAATGTAAAATAAACTTTGTTGTATGTATTTGCATACTGTATTTTTAGTTTAATTATTAACCTAATTGTTATAATTACCATCCGATAGACCGGAATTTTCGGTAGTCCTGCACCGAGCCGGTCCCGAACGTGTCGGATTATCGGACTTCTACTGTATCAGGAACTGGTGTGGCAAAGATTTGATCTTTGACATATCCTCTGACTCGTGAATACAATAAACAATCTCATAACTTGCAGTAGACCTGCCACTTCTTACAAGATCACTAATGCTACTAGTTTCTTTAACACTTTTCGTACCAAATCCTCTTTCACTTAACATCTCAAGGACTGTACCCATATAAACTTGTAATAAATTCGGCGATTCAAAGCACTTTGTCGAGGACTGTTGCCTGACTGGAAGTGTGAGGGGGAGAATATAAATTTGCGAAGTTTGAAGATTTATTTAGTAACTATAAATTGTTTAGAAAATTTCCAAGAGATATTATGCAAACTGTGAATGAGAATAAGAAGAATATTGGTATCGAGATATACAAAGCAGAAAATCATATTGAAAACAGAAATCATTTAGGTAACTTATAAATTTAAGATGAATTTTGATAATGTAAGGAAGATTTGAATAATAATAACTAATTGAAAGTAAAATTTATAAAGATTTTAAACTTTGAAAAAACAGAAATGGAAATGATACATCTATATACTAATTTCAACCAGAGTATTTGGAATTTATGTATCAGCTTTACCTTTTTTTTAATAACTCTTTTTTTTGGTTCGTTTTGTGTGATTGTATGATCTGAACGTATTACCAGATGCTTATTAAGTTTGTTCTTTTCCATTATGTTAACCTTTTATTTTGTTATTATTTGTAGCTTGGCCTGTCCCCTCATAGGCATATGGCAGGTTCACTTGCTAGGTGGGCTGGGGGCCAGTGCTTAGAACTAACTAATTAACCTATATAAACTTCTAAACTATTATTGGTGAGCAATTTTGTTTTATGATAGCAGGTTTATCTTTTCTTTCCACAATGTCATTTTATTACTGTTGTTTTTTTTAGCACCATCTTCTGTGTGATGGTAAAGAAAAGCTGAGGGAAATTTTAAACAAATCAAAAAAGACTCTGGTTTTAACAAATGCTGGAGTTTTGTTAAGTTTTTTTTATGCTGTCCCTGAGCTATCTCACAGTTTATCCATCTGCTCTTGGATGCTAATACAGCTTTTTTCCCCCCTTAAATCTTTTTAACATTATTAATAAAGCTTATCTTGCACTTATGGCACATAAAATTCAGTGAAAATTACAAAATTTTGAAAAGCAACATGTTTAGAATTTCCAATATAGTGTTAAGTGTTACTTTCAATTTTTTAAGGCTTTTCTCAGTTCATTAATCATATCAATGTTTAGTTTTCTTTGTAGGATGACTTATGCAACTTTTTTGTCATTTAATGTTTAACTTTTTGTTTTTTTTAATTTTCTTTATTAATCACCACTTTCTTTGCATTATTCAAAGTAAACTTCAGCAGTGAAATCACAAAATATTTAAAAACAGGATATCTTTAGAATTCCTGATAGTATGTTAAGTGTTGTCCTTCTTTTTTACAAAAGTACAAAGTCCATAATCCGGACTTGTCGGAACTTCGGCGATTCTGGATTAAGGGTTTTTCCGGATTATAGGTCATCAATTTAAATCTGGTAAGATGGCATGCAGAAATTATAAAATTAAAAATATGAAATCGTAATTTATGAAATAAAAAGCAATTATGATCTAAAGGGTATAGAAATTTACAAAAAAAAGCTCAATATTTATTTGTTTACTTTATTAAACATTTCTTTCAATGCATAGTCGAAATTAGAAAATTGTAACCAGAAAACTATTTGATGTGTATTCGTGATATTTATAATGACGAGGAATTTGATTTAAATCATATCAAAGATTTCTATTTTCTGAGACTATTTTGTGAATTTTTTTTTAATCAAGGACTTTTTCTTATCAATATAATTAATAAAAGAAATTCACAAGTGTGTGTATATGAAATTGTAGAAATAAGATAACTGAATAGATATATCTTATTTTTACAATATCAAGGACGTTTGTCACAAGGTTTTAAAATGTGATTATATGATGCAATTCAAAAAATTTCCATATGCTTACCTAGTAATTTAGTTTATTGTTTTGCAAGAAATTTTTGTCGAGTGAATTGTTGCAATTCATATCTATATTTGTTGACTTTTTATTATTTTTGTGAAATATGCAAGATCTATAAATTAGGACAGTGATGGTGAACATAATGTCATACAAACTCATTTTGGGTGATATACCTCACGTATTTCTTGAGCCATCAGTGCAGACAAAAATTTGCTTAATACAAAAATATATGTCTTTTGCAATGGCATCATTATTGTCAGTATGTGCTGCATTTACCTCGGGCCCATTCAAGTGCATTCTTGGCAGATGGATGATTCTGCATGTGACACGGCACTAGAATTTAGCTAGGGTTTTTCCAAATTTTTTACTTGCTAAGCTCAAAAGATTCTCTATAACTGAATTAGGGATTAATCTTTTCTCTTTAGCATTAAACAGAAATCTAATTTAGAAGATAAATATTATTAAGTTGTATGTTATATTAGGCTTAGATTTCATTTGATTTGTTTTTTAATTATTTTATTTTATGAACTTGGTAGAAAATGAGTTACTTGGGAAATATGAGCTTATATACTATATTTACTCATATTTTTTTTCTCCCTCTTTTATTAATTTTACTGCTTGATAATTGGGAGGGGAAAATGTGTATTGTATACTATTTCTGAAGAGATGGTTTAAATGATAAATATAGCGCATTAAAAAAATTACACGTGATGACACTATAATATTATTATATATTTCAAAGGACTTAACAATTTCAATAATTTTCTTTTCATGTAGGCAAAATACTTTTCCTATTTGTGTATACATTTTTACCATACATCATATTCTAAAAACCTAGGGGGGAAATAAATATGTGAGTAAATATGGCATATAATTTAACTGTCAATATAAGAGAAGAATTTTAGTAATACAAGCCTTAATATAAAGTGTGTTGGGTATTTAGTATAATTTCATCTACTCTAATTTTTCTCAATTTTTTTAAACAATGAAATTTCAAAATTGTAATTTGTTGTAACAGTATTTTTTTCCTATTCCCTTTATTCTTTTATTTTGTTATAAATAAAATGCTTGAAATTCTGCAAGTTTTCTTAGCATTTCAACATGGCTAGTGATCGATGCCACCAAGAGAAGAGAAAAACAATAAATGGTGAAGATATATTATTTGCCATGTCTACCCTTGGGTTTGATAACTACGTTGAGCCTCTGAAATTGTATTTACAGAAGTATAGAGAAGTAAGTTAATTTTTAAAAATATCTCAGTATTTGATCTAAATATTTTACCTCTTTTATATGAGAGTGAGCATATATTTTCTTTTTTATAGCGTGAACGGCTAAGTATTAATGTATTAATGAATTTGTATTAATCTTCATTTAAATCTTATTTGATCATCCTTAATGTGTGTATGAAAGGTCTTAATTTGTTAATGCATTTATTGGTTGCCTGAAGTGTATGACCATTAAATTTTGCCTATCCAGGTTTACTAAAGAATGTATGTAGTACAGTAAACAAGATATATTTTTTATTTTCCTTCAAATATCTTCTAATATCATATATTATCTAAGATCTCCAAAGTGTTGCTCTTTAAGAATCATATCTATATCTATTATATTAGCAGTATAAAATCTCTGCTTATTTAAATGCAGTTTTTTTTATCTGGTTCCGTCTTTAAATTTTAATTTAACAGAATATAGTTGTGATTATTAGTGTAATCATGGATGGTCCCATCTGTATTGGTGTCCATATTTTTCCGTGGATAAAAATAACATTTCATGAAGTAAGCAATTAGTGTAATTTTTTTATTAAATGGATTTAAGATACACTTTATTACCATTATTTAATCCCATTTCATCAACGTGTTTCTAAAATCCGCATAATAATGTTCATCCAGTGGCAAGCATTTAGAACAAAGAACATTTGTGTGCAAAACTTCTGAAATTCAGCATTTGATTTTAGTGTTTACTTTGTCATAAAAGTTGTTTAATGGCACTGAAATATTGGGAAGAACCTTTGATGTGGAGATTATCTCTGTTGTTTAGAAGCAGTGTTGAGTGTTGCAATTGTGGTAGCATAGCTGAATATCTCAAGACAGCCAGTTTGTGCCCATGAGAAAAATAATTTAAGGATCTGAAACTTGCTAGGAAGCTGAAACAGTCATTTAAAAAAAAACCGCGATTTCTCAAAATCAGTATCTGTTTGTAATTGCCTGTGATAACAGGAACTTAACTGCTAAACAACTGAGTATGTGACCTTAAAGGCAATAACTGAGTTTGAGTGTTATGACATACTGTATATTATTTATTTTTTTAATAGTGTCATTAAAATTGATTATTGTTTTAATTATTTCTTTTTCCTGCTATTTTTATTTCATGTTCAAATAATAAATCTGTTTGATTTTTTATTATTATGAAGCTGTTATTACTACCTGGCTCAGTTATCATGAGCGATGAATGACCTTTTTATAGGGGCTGGGCCGATTAGGTTATGATCATCAAACAATAAATCGCAAACAGTCTGTCCTGCATTTGGTACTAATATTCAAACAGTTGAATGGTGCTAGAGGATATTGAAGCTAAAGGTTCTACGCAACATGAGGAGTATCACGGCACAAACGCATCCACATTCTCATAGAAGCATAGTTAGAGGTGCACTATTAAAATTGAATATTTTTTCAACCAAGCTGTATGACACTTATAATGTACGTAGCTTAAATGATTAATAAAAAGGACCTTTTAAAGGCCATTCCCCATTTTTTTTTTTTTTTTTTTTTTTTTTTTTTTTTTTTTTTGTAAAATTGGGAAGAATTAAAATTTAATGGACTTGAAATAATAAGTTATTAAATTAATTAATGGAATTATTTTAGGTATTAATTATTTTTGTCTTTAAAAATAACATTTTAGCAATGCCATCTAAGAAATAAGTAATTATGGGAGATCACATACTGCATCCTTGCCAAAAAAGTGCTTTAAGTCAAGAAAACTGATGATTTTTATTTCACTGACCTCAGAACAAAGGGCCTCCTTGAATTTTTGTAGATAACATAAGAGAGATTCTGAAGTGTTGTGATTGGGTTTACTTTGGTGAGAAGTCAAAGTTCATTGTTAGCTCATCATCTGCCTTCAGTTTTTATTTCTCTTTTTTATCTTCCTTTTTATTTGTGTGCCAATGGTATGCCAGAAAAAGTTGTTTGAATAAATCCTTTACATAATCACTGTTCATTCTTGCTATTTTTGCATTATACGTAGACAAATTCTCTAGTTTTTCTGTGATGCTAAGGCATTTCTTTGCTGTTGTTTGAAGAAAGTCTTTTTTTCAAACATGGAGTTATAGTATTTTAAAGCAATTAATGATAAGAATCTTGTTTAAAATAAATTATTAAAAACTATACATACTGTACCTAATATTTTATATTTACAATATTTTTAATTTTTTTTTTTTTTTTTTTTTTTTTTTTTGTGTTGTGTGTATGTGTGTTTTTATATATTTATCTTGGAAGTTACAATTTTGCAAAATACTTATTTTCTGTCTTCAAATCAAATATCAATGCTGCATTTGTCCGAGAATTCTTAGGGTATATAACTATGAAGTTAATTAGGAAGGCAACTTCTGTTTGGCTATAAATAAACAATGTACATAAGTAACAGCATTTTTTATTTAAAGTATAACTGTACTGTATTTTACAAAGTAGTCAGCATGTAAATTCAAGCCCTTGTATAGTATTTCATTAACTTACAAATAGCTTCTGTGTAAAACCCGGCTGGGATTTCAACCAATCACAGGATTTTTAAGATCCTGACTGTCAACAAAGGACTGGTATTCAAACCAACCCTATGCCATTGTCTATTGTTTTCTATCTGAATTCACATGTACCTCCAAGTGTCATTGTTAGTCATAATTCTGTTCAAAAACTATTCCTCCTGTGTGATGTACGAGGAAAGAAAGTTTAGCTTGTTTTATTGGGGTTTTTTTTTTTATTTCTGTGAGAATTTTTGGGATCCAATGAGCACAAAACTTTTGGTATTCTAATTTTTGAATGACTACTTCATGCAAAGCAGTCTGAGAAATGTTCAGAAATTTTTCAGAAAGTTCCCAATGGTGAATTGTGGTTTTCAGAAATTTTGTAGTGAGTAACCTTGATGAGATCATCTCTCATTACAGAAGGTCTATTATTCCTAGGTTCATCATAAATATTTCTTCATGCTTTGAAAAATATTATCCACTGGCACACACCTTCACTCATAATGTTTGGGCCATATACACAATACAGTTCACAATGAATGCCTCCTGGTGAAAGATTTTTTACCTGAAGTAATCTTATCACTCTGCGTACTTCACATTTGCCAGGATTTTTGTTAGCAGTGTAAATTTTATGACTTTATAACCAGCAGATGCATGGCAGTACAATGCTCTCACTAGTGCAGCTAGAAGCTTACTAAATCTGAGATTACGGGCTATAACAATGATTATTCTCTGACTGCACCACAACGTGAGCTACTTTCTGAATTACTCTGATATTATAGAGACATGCAGTTGTTTATTATTTTTAGGTAATATCTAAAAGGAAATTTTATTTTTAGGCTATGAAAGGTGAGAAAACTATTAGCACTGCCACAGCGACTGATTCTTCAATTGACGACCTGGAAGACAATTCTTATTGTGAGTATTTCCATTTCTTTTTTTAGCTATAAGTTTATGTTTAAATAATAATAATAAATCATTAAGAACTTTTTTTCAGGAATCGAGGATATTATAATCTCGGGTTTCCTGAAAACGAATTTAGTACTTTTCAAAATAAAAGCATTTTCTATATATTTACTGAAAACATTAAATTGACATTATTTTGTTTATTTATTTAATTTTTATTATTATAAAATGCAGAGATTCTTGAAAATAAAAAATGGAGAAAATAACCACAGTCTGAAGTTGCATCAAATAAAGCTTTTGTGTTAGGCATCAAGAAACTAACGTAATAACTTTTATGTTTAAATTGATAATGAAAGTAATTCCCAAACACGCAGTTTTATTTTTTATTGGATGCGTAACTATTTCAAGTCATCAAACGGATTCTTTGAACGAGAGTACATTTACTTAACTATGTATATAGCAGTCCCAGACAAGGTCTAAAATTAGTATTTTAAGTTTTTTTAATAATCGTCATATGTAGTTTTACCATAAAGATATATGTCTTTTCCTTTAATGTACTTTTTTCATAGCATTGCATCTCAAATTCTTCCACCTGATATCAAAATCTTTCATTGGCAGTATTTCATAGAAGAAGTAAAAAGTCGAACCCCTTTATTCAACCATATTTGCTCAGTAAATGCAATCCCAAAATTTAAGGCTATACTATATAAGATCAAGCCTACCACTGACCGAGTGATAGAGTCACTGAACACTGGTAATTCAGTCTGGGGTTTGCATCCTGGCAAATGGGCTGAATGTAATGTGTGTTTTCATAGTTTTCCCCATGTGTAATGTGTATACAAGCCAGTTTCTCTTAGAAAGTCCTTTACGAAGGCATCCCTCCTCTTAGACAGATGGCCATTGAGTGCTTTGCCATAATCAAAGAAACCCAAACAAACCAAACCACATAAGAACTCTGAAAGTAAAAATGTCAATTGAAATAAAACTTTTGATAACATTAAATTCTGCAAGTAAATGGAAAAGAGCATTTCTTGTAAATGTAGTTTGACTTCAAGGAACTGCAAAAGAAAAACCCTGAAACAAAGTACAAAATGCATAAAAATTCTAGTTTATTGAACTCTATAAATGATAACTGGTGCTATATTGAGATTTAAGGGTCAAATTCCAAGATAATTAGCTCTGCATTTATGAACATTGAAAATGTTAGCCCAGACAAAATTGTTGATAGCATTAAGTTTACGTTTAAGTGAGAAGTATCATTCAATGTATAGTATTTTGATGTAAAAGTACTGTAGAATGAAATAATAAGCAAAGTTATTGGTTTAACTGGCTTCATTTTAAATGTAACTGTGAACAACAGTTGCACAAAAACAAAGCATTTTCTTTCTTCAAATATTAATGTTATAATGATAACTATATACCGCTTACAGGCTACTTAACCCTCTAAGCAGCAAGGCCATATATATACGGCCTTGCCGCTTAGAATATTTATTGTGATATCTGTAAGAACGTATATATACGTGCATATTAAAAAATATATCAACCAAATTAAGGCAATATATCAAAAGAAAACAAATCCAGGTATGAAATACCAGGAGAGTTTTTGCATTAAAATCAAAAAAATAATTTGTTCTCATAGTAGTTATGGGAACTTTGTGCTTTCTTAGCGAAAACCCTGGCCACCAGATTAATTTTTATAACATTAACCAAATGATGATATTAAGTTATGAGAAAAATAGACTTCAAAATATCAATGGTATTGGACTAGTTTAATGTAAATATAACTAGAAACATATAAGTACTTACTTTCACAGCATTTTAATTTGGAAAAAAGTCATTAAATCTGCAATTGTTACACATAAGATCATATGAACTTGCTCATAATGCTCTGGAAATTATTTGATCTATGCTGTATCCTTAATGTTAATACTGATAGTGCATCCTACATTTCAGTTGCCAAGCTTTAAATTTGATGATCACTAGTAGTTCAATTTGGGGTTTGAATCATGGTGAACAATTGCCTGCATGGGAATTTTCATGGTTTTTTTTTTTCCATGTGTAATGTGTATACAAGCCAATTTCCCTTAGAAAGTTCGGTCCAAGGTTCGAATCCAGCGAATGGGCTGGTTGGCTGCATGGGTGTTTTCGTGGTTTTCCCCATGTGTAACGTGTATCGAGCCAGTTTCCCTTAGAAAGTCCTTCACGAAAGCATCCCTTCCCTTAGGCAGATAGCCCTAGTGTGCTTTGCCGTAATTAAATAAACCAAACCAAACCCTTAGAAAGTTCTACATGAAGGCATCGTTTTCTTTAGGCAGATACCATCATGTGCTTTGCTGTAATCAACTAAACGAAACCAAACCTTCATTTCCGCATTTGTAGGAAATTATCTGATTTCGTCGTATTCAGAAAGTTTATTACATGTTATGTGATTAGATTTATTTCAGAGAATGGCTGGCAGATATCTTCTATTATTGATGCTGCAATTGAAGGGTTTTTTTCATCAGTATCTTCACAATTCATATTAGCTCGAGACATTTTTAGTTCCTTTATTTCATCATTTAACTTCTTTTATTTCATCTTTTATTAAAAGATTGCATGCATGAAACAACTCTTTATTGTCTTTTTTGACTTAATATGACTCTTTCTGACTGAATGTTCCAAACCTTAAATGTTGCCTTAAACCATGGCAGCTTTAATACCATACTTGGTAACACATCTGTTATTTGGCGATTTTATTTTTTATTTGTTAACATTACTTCAATTTAAATAATTCATTCTAAAATATTTTAATGGGTTTTGTGCCAAAAAACTCCAACTAACCAACCAACTATAATATTTTGATAATGACCAATTGATCACAATAAGCAATGTATTTTCCATGCTTTTGTATACAAATGGATGAGACTTCAGCAGTTTAATAACATTAACCATGATCATATTAAGACTGTATAACTCCTACTGTATAAAGAATATTACATAGTAACACACTTATGAAGTTAAAAGGCAGTTTTGACCAAGTCAGTGGATGTTTGAAATTGATAACTTGAAGTTGGACAATTGAACCACAAACTCAGACATAAGCACAAATGCATTTTAAATACAAATGTGTAGTTAATTTAGAAGTCAAACAACAAAAATCAGTGTTATATTTTCAAATTTCCTGTGAAAATTTTAAAATATAATGCTGATTTTTTATTGTTTGACTTCTAAATTAATATTTGTTCGACGTGTTATTGTATCTTAAAAATGTGTAGTTCTTTATAAAAAATATTATATGTGGTAAGTTTTACAAGAATTTATTTTAGCTTAAGGAATTATGTTGTAATCATTCTTTTGTTTCTCATACAATATCTGATATTCAAGAGTATGTTATTGGTAAATGTAAAAGTATTGCATAACTGTGATGCAAATTTTGCTAGGAAATTTACAGAAAATCCTTTAAAAAAGAGAATTGCATATTGATAAACTCTAATTATGATGTTTAGAAAATCAATTTTAAAGTTCATTAAACACTTTTGTAATTCTTTGCTTTTAATTGTATGTAATAGTTTAGATTACAAGGGGTCCTCATGATCTTGGCATCCCCTTTTCAGCTGAACTCTTCACTGTTATAAAGACGCACATTTAAAAGAAAGCCATTACCAAAAGCGTAACCCAGTTACTATTTTGGGAGTGGAAAAAGAAAATAAATAAATAAAAATAAATAAATAAATAAACTGAAGAGGCTGTAACAAGATAAAAAATTAGTATTTTATTTTATCTATTTTTTAACTTATGTGTATGTATATATATGTATTATTATGAATTTTGTATGTATGTAAAGTTCCAGTATTTTTCGTATAAATGTAACATAAAATGCTTGAAAGAGACAAAGATCTGCCAGAAAAATAAGATTACAGGACAAGTGTATTTAACACTGAGGCAAATGGCTATCTTGCTAAATTAACAAGATATTGCAAAGCTGACTATGATTTTGCCGCCTAGTTTTTTTTCATCCAAATTTGGCAAGAAATCACAAAAAGGCGCCAAACTTGCCGAGGTTTGGGTCCAGTCTCTCTTTTGCTGCACTATGGTACTGTAATTGTTTTGTAATTGTTTGCTGTAATAATTGCTGTATTATGGTACTGTAAATGTAACTCTTTGTTTGATGGTACTGTAATTGAATATCTGTAATAGATCACTATATGTAACTGTAACAATATCCAGCCTTATGTGTATTTTTAACCATATATGCCTTGCAGTAATTTTAAAGATTTCAGGGTGGCCAGGGGGAAAACTATATTAGGTTCTTATTAGTTTGAAGTGGAACTACTGATTGTGCTGTGTGATACTGTAAAGAGCTGTACAAGTATTTTTGTGTAAATTTCCAGAACTTTTAAGAGTTTCTTGTGGTAAAATAAATGTTATCAAACTATCATCAGTTCTGTGTGCATTCAATCCATCATGAACCCAAATGTACACAACAATATATAAAGACCATGGATGGGCTTATTATAAAATGACTTTTATATATTTTTTGATAAAATTTCTGCATTACAAGGCTGGCATAAAGAAAAAAGGAATTGTGGAAAGTTTTTTTGTGTTTCCTTTTATTCATTATTTCATAGAAAGTTTATTTTGATTATCCAAAGCATTACAATTATGCATTAGATTATCCAGTTATCCTTTAATAGCTAAACCGTCTTAACCAAAAGAATAAATTATTTAGGGCTTTAGACTGCATTTTTCAGAATGAGATGCAAGCTAAGTTTTTTGTATTTTGCTTATTAGAGTCCTTATAAATCTGTGGAATTTAGTTGAAATTAATGGCATGCCGGTGAAGTACTTTTCTTATTGTAATAAGGTGTACATGAAATTAACAGATGGAACACATATTGTTGTATTTTTAGAATTCCTTTTATGAATATCTGAAACTACCAGTTAATGTGTATTAAAAATAATCTTAAAATATGAGAAAATGCAAAAGCATACCTGATTTTTGTTGGTAGAAATTATATGCATTTTATTGACAGAACTTATATAAAATATGCAACATATCAAATTGCTGGTATATCAAATAAAATTTTGTGAAAGTCTGAAAGTTAATACCTAGTATTACTTTTTAGGGTATTCATTAAAAATGAAAGGTTCATATATTTACTGTCATTACTTTAGATTTATTTATGCCTCAATTGCTTTTGAAATATTTGTTTATCTGTATGTAACACATTTGTTTTATACATTTCTTCTTATAAATTTGATGTAGCTTCTCAGACATTGACAGCTGCCATGCTGACTGATCAGTCAGGTCAGCAGAATGTTATATATACAACTACTGCTTATCCTTCACAGGTAAATATTTTTTTCAATATCATAGATTCTCAGCTGGCATTCCAAGTTCAGAGTATTTACATTATTTGATTTTAAAATGATAAATTTCCTTATTAAATAACTGTAAACTAAGTAATAAAAGTAAAATGGAAGTGTAGTTTATCTGGATACTTGAAAAATCTTGGTAACTGAGTTGTCCTCCTCCTGTTGGCTAAAATGCATTTACTGTAATGCAGTGTAAAAAGTTTTACTTTTTCTTTTGTTATATCTTAATTGAACAGATATTATACAATTAAGAAAAATACTGTAGTTTTATTTTTGTGAAACTAAACACAAAACATTCTTTTCTGCTCAAAATTAAAGCAATGGAATTGCTATTTTGCTTTGAAATACAGTACAAAGTCCGAAATCCAGACATCCAATATCCGGAATGATCTCAAATCCGGACCTTAAAGCCACCAACAAACATTTTTTAGGAATTGTTTTAATGCTTTACGTATGTGCATTTAATTCCCCCCTGTAAGAAAGCATGTGGAGAATCTTGATTCTTAATTTCACTTCGGTACTGAATAAAATACCTTGTTGTTGAAGAAACAATCATTTTAGCATAAATTTGTGTGGTCAATAATTTGGCTCCTTAGCTGCGTATCTGTTTTTCCAATTAATGGATTTTGTAAAGAAATGTGGGGAAGGGGTAATAAGTGAAGATGGTATAAAAAAAGTTTTTCATTGCAATGGCAATGATCCAATCAATCAATTAATGGATAGCGAAATCTGTAATATGGTTCTAGATCCAGAAAATACCGTTACAGGAAGAAAGTGACGAGAGTTTATTGGAAACGAAAAAATTTCGATTGACGAGTTAGTCGGAACTCTCCACGCAGCAACTACAGGACTTTAACAGTGGAAATTTATAACTGAATAAGGAATTATGTCTGTCTGCAGAATTGAAGAGAAAGTATAAGCAGAAAAAATGTAGCACCTTAAACAATTTACATTCAAAGAAATGTTTAATAAAGTAAACAGATAAATATTAAGCTTTTTTTTTTTTGTACATTTTGATATCGTTTCGGTCATGGATGCTTCATTATTTCATAAATCACGATTTCATATCTTTAATTTTATAATTTCTGCATGCCATCTCACTAGATTTAAACTAATGATCTAATATCCAGAAAAATCCCAAATACGGAATCGCCGAACTCTCGGCGAGTCCAGATCTCGGACTTTGTACTGTATAATCCATTTCTGTTTCAAACTCGTAACAGTAGAATTAATTTTTATTTCATATAGGCTTTAAAAGTGAATGTTTAATTTTTGTACAGCTAAAAATAAAAGAAATAATTTATTTGCACAAAACAAAATGCATACGTTTTTTTCTGTTCAATTAAAATTAAACTTCTTTTTAAATGATAACACAAACTAGCAAATTATAAGCAACACAATACATGTTATAAAACTTCATTTACAGTATTTGAGTTTATTTTTAGAAAAAAAGGTAATTTATTATGACTAAGCCCATAGAATAAATAAAAGGACAATAGAGCTATGCACAGTATACAATTTCTTTTTAATGCCAATAGACTGTATTTACTGAACATTATAGGTCACTTTGTAAGTTAGCATATTTATCTAAATTAGCTTCTCAAATATGTGCTATGCTATATTATCTTTTTAGATTACTTAAATCAGTCAAAAAATTTAGCTAAATAAACTGAAAATAAGCTTAATTTTCTTGGTCCCTGAAGAAAGAAAAATGTTCTGAGTATATGGAGTTTGGGTAGTTAGAACTCTGTTCTCCTTTAAAATAAAGTGAAAGGGAATTCATCTGAATCAGATTAACTTTTTTAGATTAATTTTTTTTTTATCAATTTCATTTGTGAATAAGCTTTTCTTGTTTAGTTAGTTATCACATGGTTCGTGCAGTCATTTAAAGTCCTTAGGTTTCTTGAAAACAATTTTTGGTTCTTAAAAGTCTTTAATTTCTGTTAAAATTGGTAAAAGGTGCTAATTTTATTCTCAGCTACCATTTCTGTTTTTTTTTTATGACTGCCATTTTGAGTGAGTATTAACATTTTGAAGAATTTTTTTTCAGTTCATTGACAAATATTTATTTGATAAGTTATATTTTTAATTCATTCCTACTTCTATATTTCATTCCTACTAATACAAGCAGTGCGATATTTGGGTTTCTGGACACATGGCCATAAATTGATAGAAACAAAGCATTTTGAAATTTTTCCTTTTCAGCAAGAGTTCATAAAATATTACATCAAAAAGGTCTTTTCCCTTTATGGGAAATGAATATATTTGTTATGTAGTGTTAAATTTGGTGACTGATCAGCATTTTGTCAATTTTAAGATCAGTTTGTGTACAAAATTTTGATTCACAGATTTTCAAATTTTTTGACAATTTTTTTATTTTTACAAACATAACAATATTGATAAATATCATTAATATAATGATAATGATAATGAAGGTACATTTACAAAACAATACATTAAAATAAATCATTTTAATTTTCTCCTCTCATGTTTTAAAGTCACATTACTTTCCATTCTGGTGATTTAGGAATATTTTAATTCTAAAAAATAAACAAGTTGATAAATGCCATAATGAACTTCTTAGCAAAAGCATTACTATAATAATTTTTAAGTTAATTTCATTTGTTGTTTTCATGTTTAAAGAGTTTTTCTCATGTAATTTCTTCAGAATATTCAAATGTATCGGTTTTCTCTGTAAAATTCATTTTACACTTTTCTTTTCTGAATTTTGTCTAAAAAAAATCTTCTGGCTTTTTGCTCTTACAGAGTTGGTAAGGATAATGCTTCTTTTAGATTTTAGTCCTTGTAACTTGGAATATTTAGAAGAATTTAAAGGCAAAATTTAAAGATACACGATTCCAAAAAATTCCCTAAAAATGTGACAAAGGAAAAATGTTTTCATGTTATTAACATATAATAGACATGCTTTACAGCAAATTTGTGATAAATTTCATATTTTTGGAGAATTTTTGGAAGAACAGTGAAAGCAAAATTATTTGAATTTTCTACTTTTGATACGAAAAGTCTTTCTCTTAACGTCTTTTCTTCTTAAGAAAATAAAGATTTTCTCTTCTTTTCACTAGACACAAGCTTAGAAAATTCCAAAAATTTTTGTAATCTTGTCACATAGGATAGGTATGTGTATGAAGGAATTTTTATATTAATAAAGAACTTGAAAACCGACAATTTAAAAGATTCATCTTTTATGTCTCAGTGTACCATATATAGGGAGTAGGTATTTTGCCACCTCTCTTTCTCTCTGAGTAAGCAGCAGCAATGGCAACAGCCAAGCTTTTGTTTCAGATCATGCTAAGTATGATTTTAATTCCAGTGTATTCATCTTCCAGTGTCATTATATTCATCTGTCCTGTAGAAAGAAACCATAAAGGTAGACTTGTGGTAGGAGATATGTAGCAAACATACCCAATATCAGCTAGCACTGATAGTTAAATAACTATATATATTTTATTTGATAAAATTATTAATAAAATATTTCTTAGATATTCTGTTTCATTGGAAAAAGATTTCTTAGATGAATATATAAAGTAGAGAAGGAATCATTTCTTAGAAATGTTTCATTGGTGATGTTTGATCCAATAAAATGAATATAAGCATTAACACTTCCAGAGAGCTTGAATTTTCCAGGGTAATAGTGATGTAAATATTCATTAACAGACATGTATTGATGTAATAACTGGTTAACTATGAATTTTTTTACCCCTTGTCCTAAAAAAAAGACTTAAAAATCAGTTTTTGCTTAAAAAAATGACTGCCAAAAGAAAATTGTTTACTTAAAAAAAGAACCTTTGAAGTTTCAGAGAAGTGAAACTTGTTTAGATGATCATATCATAATTTCTTGTTATCATAAAGGCAACATTTTTTCAGGCCTTTCAAAAGACATGTTCATCTTACTTTTAAACTTACATTTATACTATATACAAATTAGATTAATAAGCTATTTTGCCTGTCGATAATATTTTTTGCATTTTTCAAGATTTTATAGTTTTTTCAAGTGCTAGATCCTCTTGTACGTAAAAATTTTTAGATATTTATTCATATGAATATTGAGACTTATTATTGGATTATCTGTAAATTATCTTTGATGATGCTATTTAATTTATATACATTTTTCTTTCGCACTAATAAACTGTATGTACCTCTGATATTATCTAAACTCTTATATGCCTTTTAGTGTTAGACAGTGTATTTAAAATAAATTTTAATTCAGAACTCATTGTGCTACTTGTAATGCAGGCTCCAAGTGAGTAATACTGTGCAACTATAACTATCCAAAATAAATGAACCACAATCAATCTGGGTATTTGAAAAATCCGTATAATTTGACTGTAATATAATATAATCCCTAAATGCATATTTAATGTACACAAGGGAATTTTTTTTTTCATGTCTTATTTTAACAAGGATTCCACAATTGTAAAATTAAAATAATCATATTTCACACTCAAGGGTATATTGAAGAGAAAAATTAGGTACAGCACACAATGCACCACACATCAAAATACTAATAGGAAAAAACAAATCGTTGACTCCAGTTATTGTCTATATTATAAGGCAAACATTCCTTCTGGATGGAGATTTCAAGCTTCCCAACCTCAAAGATAGCTTTGATAGAAATATATAGAAGCAGTTTAATGGACACTTTAACTGATTGTAGTGAAATTGTATTTATAATAGTAAATGCAGCAATGATACAGTAGTGCCAGACAAAGAAAAAAGAAAAGTGCGAGTTACAGACAGTGGTATTAATAACCTTATCAGTACTTCCTCAGAAGAAATTGAAAATGGTGAATGAGAAGATATTACAGAAAGCAGTAGTATTTAAGTAAAATTCTCAATAAGATCAGACATCAGTGGACCACAGATTTCAATCTAGAATTCTACAGAAGTAACCTAACCATATTGATATGTATATGCATATGATATATACATATGCAAATGAGGTATGCATACATATT